ACTTATAAACACAAACTAAGACACTTTAACACTAAACTAGACTCAAAGAATGCAAAACTAAACACTTAAAACACTAAAACAAACCAAAAGACTCAAACAGCACCCAAAACACTCAAAACTGCCTTAAAAACACTTTCTGGGCAGTTTTGAGCACTTTGACTACTTTGGACGAAATTGGGTAATAAAATGAATCAAAACACTTAGAAACACAAACTAAGACACTTTCTAACTAAGTTGGACACTAAAGTAAGGGGGGATGAGTTTTTGACGAAATTAATTAAAATACACAGATTGTAATTAAAAACAGATTGTAAAGATGAATGTGACGGAATTGAATGGATGGGATGGTTAGCTAAGGGGTTCATCTCCACACATGTTACACTTGCATAATAAAAAGATTTCCAATTGCATTTCAATAAACCATGAATTCTCAACGCCCCGGGTTAATTAGGTCCGCTTAAATTAACCGTCAAGTTTTCCTTAAGTTAATGAATTGGATGATTGCATACGACAACCCAAAGCATTCCTCACAAGTTCCCTACATGAATTGCATAATAGAGATACAAGCAAGAATCATTAAGCAACATGAAAACTATAAGTGTTGACGAGGCATTCGTTACTATGATTGCATGAAACTTATGCCAAGAATATGTTTAACGCGATTGTTTATAAGCAACCTCCACTACTTGTGAATATAAGTTCATAACTATTACGTGAAACTCACTTATATTCTAGCGTCAAATTCATGCATGAAAATTAAGCGTGAACTCTCAATAAGCATACATAAATAGGTTATCAATCAAATAGTTAAACAAATTGAATTCACAACTTATGAAACGCAATTAGAAGTAATCAAATCAAAATGCAAGCATAAACATATATTTCGAATCCCCCCCTAACCAGGGGGGGTTTAGTTCCTCATACGTACAAAACAAAGAAAATTGAAATTAAACATTGGAATCGAGGAAAAGAAACACCTAAACATTCCAACAACTCAAACTTGAATTGTATGAACGTTTAGGCACTCTTCTCCTCCTCTTCGTTGTAGCACAAGGTCTAAGGATAGGTTTGGAGGGATGGGGAGTTATGGATGGTGTAGAATGATGTGTTTAGGATAGGGATGGATGTAGGGGACCTCAAGGCTTCTTTTTGGGCAGAAAATATGAAGAATGGTGAAGTATGGATGTGTTATAGAGAGGGGATGAATTTCTGGCGTGAATGGTGAATGAATTGTGTATGAATGGGAATGAATGAATTGTGGCTGCAATGGATGCTTATTTATAGGTGAAAATGAGGGAATATGACAGCTAGGAACTTGGTGGAAATCTGGAATGGTGATGGGAGATGCATGTGGCTGATTTATGAAGGGAATGCATGTGGATTAAAGTGGAATGACAGCTAGGTTATGATGATGAATGCATGTGCAAAGTTGGTTGAATGATTATGAAGCATGTGGGTGGAAATGCATGTGGAATGGCTGATTTATTTGTTGGGAAAGCATGTGAATTAAAGCTAGGGTGAATGATGATGATGGGAGAGCATGTGGGTGCAGCTATGGTGGGAATTTTGGGCAGAAAATATCCTAAGGCTTTATTACTTAGTTTAGGAAATGATGTAACTCATTTGATTAGGAATCCTCTTCAATTTCGTCCATTCCTTTTGCTCCAAACGTAAGCTATCCATTCCAAGCCCAATTTTGCTCCAAAATGCTCCAAAATGCACCTTTTTGCTTCCTTAGCCATATGAACCTAGAAACACACGAAAATGGCATAAAGGACTAAAATAACTAAAGAAACATAACGTAAATGCACGAGAACAAGCCATTTAAGTCGCATGAATCTGCTCCTATCACTGAGCTCTTAGGGTTCGATCACGAGATACACTATAAGGCTAGACATGAGAATATGGTAACAGATGTCTTGTCTAGAATGCATATAGTTTCTACAAGTGAGGACTTGAGTGCCATTTCCTTATTGAAGTATTTTTCTATCTCTTATCCCTATGAAGGTTGGTTAGATGGCATTCGGAGGTACAATGAGCATGATGAGTGGGTTATTCAGAGAATTAGAGAAGTGTTTGGATAGAAGGAATTCTACCACTAGCAGCTCTCCACTTGCCAAATTTTCTTTTGTGACTGGCTTCTTATGATACAAGGGAAGAATAGTATTGAGTCCAGATTCAAAATGGAAAAGTAAGCTCTTAACTGAGTTTTACTCCACTCCTACTGGTTATCATCAAAGGGTTTTAGCAAGCTATCACAAGTTAGAGAAACAATTTTATTGGCAGGGCATAAAGGGATATGTTAAGCAATTTATCTCTAATTGCCATATTTGCCTCTACCCCCAAAGTGATGGTCAAACTAAGGTGCTCAGTATGTGCTTGGAGACTTATCTCATATGCTTTGTTTTGGGGGGGGGGGGGGGGGGGCAACCTCGAAACTGGGTTAAGTGGCATGCTTGGGCAGAATTATGCTTCATTACTTCCTACCTCACAGCTTTTAAAACTACTTTTTTTGAACTGGTCTACGGCTATCCACCTCCCTATTTGGAAACCTATGAGTTGGGAACTACTTGACTTGATTCAGTTGAACAAAGTTTAATTGATAGGGATAAGAAGCTAACTGTGCTTAAATCCAACTTCGAATTAGCTCAGAATTAGATGAAGGTACAGGTTGACAAAAAGATTTGTGAAAGGCAATTTAGAGTTGGTGAATTGGTCTACTTCAAGCTGGTCCCTTATCAGTTACAATCATTGGCACCAACTTTGTAGTGGACACCCTCTGACGGAGTGACTTTAACATAGTCAAAGATCAAGAACCTAACCACAAGACAACTATGATGCCTTAGGTCGAAGGACTACTTTACATTATCCCAACCATAAGTTCTCATGTGACATGAGTATGATAACTCCTTATTGATCAAGTTCAGTGGACTCATTCTCTATTGAGCACCTACATGCTTGTCTTGGTGTCAGTCACACCGATGACTCGAGACCAGTCACTCTCCCTAAGAGAAAACATAGCACATATTGATGTTAACGGACTGTCAATGCCCAATTAGCAATCCTATGATCATGAACTTTTAGGATATGTATAAGAAAGAGAATGGTCTCATGAATCTAGCTTGTTTATATCACATTCTCCCAATTACATATTGCTTGGACTTATCGTTTCAGCATATAACATTTATATGAGATGACTTTAAACAATAATATTTGCCCTTTATATTAAACTAGATTAGTTTAACATGTGAAATATCCATAAAGTATCATCGTATGATTGGTTTTAGGGCACATTTCCAACAGCTGCAACCTAGATACTATGGTCCTTATAAAGTGCTTGAAAAAAATTAGAGAAGTGGCTTATAAACTTAAATTACCTGTGGGCAGCAAAATTCACCTAGTGTTCCATGTGAGTTACTTTAAGAAGCAAGTGGGAACTGAAGTTGCAATGCATCCAATGTTACCTCACCCCTTGGAAGATGGATTAGCACAACATGTACCTGAAGGAATTCTATCTCAGAGGGTTTATAAGAAGGGCAAGTCAGCTGGAGTCCAATTGTTAGTGTAATGGCTTGGCAAGGAAGCAACTAAGGCTCCTTGGGAAGACTTAGATGAGTTCCATTCAAGATTCCCAAATTTTCCACTTTGAAACCTTGTGGACAAGGTTCTTGAAGGGGAGGGCATTGTTATGATCCAATTATGTGATTGCTTTGATCACAGGGAAGAAGACGAAAATGCAAATGGGATAAAGTAGTTTTAGTATGGGAATGTAATAAGTTGAGATTTAATAGTATTTTAGTAAGTTGAGGGGATAGTTTTAACATGTTTTGTCTGCATTGCTGAGTCAGCACTCACATGCTTGGTGTGTTTGTTATGACCTCTCGATTTTGGAGGTAACAGTCATGAGTGAAAAATATTGAATTTCCTTCTTTTCTCTCTCTCTCTCTCTCTCTCTCTCTCTCTTTCTTTCCCTCTCTTTTTCATTGTGTAACTTCCATTGCCATAGATTAACGTTGAACCCAGATTCTGGGTGCTAGCTGACACGTGACACTGCTTGCAGACGAAGAAGATGGGACTAGCAATCTTTTTTTTGGGAGGGGCCACACTAAGACCTCCTAGTGAGGGATTTAGTGGAGGCAAGTCCTCCTTTGTCCCATTAAACTTAGTCCCGCCAGTGAACAAACACGGATTGCACTAATTTTTAATCCAAACTAGTCCAGTGAAAGCTAAAGAAGGCAGACAAACACCCCCTTAGTCTCTTTATCATCGTCAAAAGATCATTTTAGAAAATTTTATTCGATTTAGAGATCATTTAATCATTTTTATAAATCAACCAAGTTGACGGTTTCTCATGAGCATATTACTATTTAATATAATTGTCAATTTGTTCCACACATATAAAAGTCTTCATATAAATAAAAACTGAGAATTATTATTAGTACTCTAAAAATATCATTTTGCACTCTTCATAAGTGTAATTTTTTTTAAATATAAAATGTTTGGAGCATAAAATAATAATTTTGGATTGCTAATAATAATTCCCTAAAAAAATTATAAATAATCTTTAAATAAAGATAAAGTAGAAAATTTATAAATTTATAAATTTATAAATAAGAATTTTGGATTTGCTAATAATATAGAATAATTTCCTAAAAATTCATAAATTTATAAATGAGAATTTTGAATTTTGGATTGCTTCCATTACTCTGCGGAAGTGAGGGGAAATGTCCTTGAAGGAACTTTGAACATCTCCACCACCTCCCTTCTCCGGCTTTACTTGCCCTTCTCCACGCTCTAGATCTCTTTTCCACATTAGTCGCCACCTCACAAGACTCGCCAACAAAAATGATTACCCATATTTGTTCGACAATAATTGTGAAATAAAAAATGGTAAGTATTTTGTATTGATATCATGAGGACAAGGTAATTAAGGAAATAATTTATTTTTAAAGTAGAAAATTGGTGATTAATGACCACTTGCTCCTTAATTACTATGAAATGTCGCTTTGGCCAAGTGGTTAAGGTGTGTGCTTGCTAAGCACATGGGGTTTCCCCGTGAGAGTTCGATCCTCTCAGGTGACGTTATTATTTTTCTTATTATTATTTTTTTGTTAAATTCTATTTTTTATATATTTTTCTGCTGTGAAATATAGTATGAATGCCTCACATATAATTGTATAGTTAAATTTTGTGAAAATGTACAAACCAAGAAAGAAAAATTATGACATTTAAAAGGAAAATGAACCAATATCGAACAGCCTTACACTTAAAGTAATGCATTGTAGTATTGGCATACATACTGCATAGTGGTACAGCCAGGACACTAGCTGCGCCTCCAGAGCGCAAAATGTTGTGGCTTGAAACTCCACAATGGCAATCTCTTCGGAAGCTATAGCCACAAGCCTTAAGATTTCCTCTTTCTTCGCCGCCACATTTTTCCATATGTGACGAATGAAGAAGAAGGAGAGCAAGACGTGGAGTAGTAGCTAGTAGAAGGCCCTAAAACCCTCTAATTTTGGGGACCAACATTGACTGGAGTTGAGCTAATTTTATCTAGCACCAAGGACGAGTCCAGAGCAGAGAAACCCTAGGATGGTTTTTTCACTATACATAGATCTAACGGTGGTGGAGGTGGCGATACCATAACCGGTAAGGTGGTATAGAGAGGAAATTGGGAGAGCCATAAAGGGAATTTGAGTGATGGTAGTGGTGGGACTGGGAGAGGAAGCATTTGGTGGATATGGGTGGTGAAGGAAGGAGAAAGAGGAGGAGAGAGAGAGAGAGGGATAGATTGGGGGAATGAATGGGACAGGATGGGAATAGTAAGTCGAAACCAAGAGTGGAGTGTCGGTGGCGACAATTAGTTTATTATTTTTAAAAGAGTAATGCTAGGAAGGCTAAACTTAGAGACTAAATTTGTAAATTAAATGATATGTCATCAATAGAAATAAGCACGTTTATCAGCGCTTAAGTAATAAACCAATCATCAACCTCCATGTCTTTTAGTTTCCAAAATTTAATCTCTCTATCATTACCTTTTTTAAAATTGTCAGTCATTCTTCCCTTCTTGTCTTGTCTTGGTTAATGCGGATTTTACCGCATGGATTCATTGTGGAGGCAAAATTTCCATTATGTCTTTTTATTTTTCAACCACATAAATTTCTTTAAATGAGGGATTTCTCAATACACATTACATCACACAACTCTATAAAAATTTGGATGACCAAAAAGTCCATTCAACAAAAAGACAAAAAAAGAAAAAGAGAACCCTAATCCTTATCCCATAAAAGAAAAATGTAGCTATTGTTGCCGACACTACCACCACCTCGCTAGCAGCCATAAGGTACGTAGCCACCCTAAGAAAATCAACTCTATGAATTCAACGAAGGGATTGATGCATAAAAATTACAACCTGCAACAAGAAAATAGCTCTAATCAGATTTCGCCACCAAAACTGCTACATTGGAAGAGAACCACCATATTCAAGCCATATTAACATACCCTTGCAAAAAGAACCAAAAACACAAACAACTAAGAAGGAGATGGTAAGGGGACATCTAAAATACCCTCGCTTTGGGCTAAGCCGCAACATGCTTGGTCCTGATATTGAGATCTAGCGAGGGGTAGTATGGGGAAGATTGAGATCTAGTGGTCAAAGCAAGTTTGTGGCTCGTAGCTTTGAGCAAAGATTGTGGGATGAGTAGCATGTGAAAAGGGGAGCTTATGAAGGAAATGGAAGATGGTGGGTGTTGGGGGTTGAAGAAAGGCAATTGCAGGGTGAGATTCTAAAGAGGGAAGGAGAAATAATAAGAAATTTACACTTGGATATGTTAAAAGATTTTTTTTATTTTTTATCTCTTCAAAATTGTATCAACTCAAGTAGGTTCCGCATTTTCCTACGAGCCTTGGCAACAAGGCTTGATATATCTCGCCAGCTCACGGCATTCCTTAGCAAGCCTCGTTAGAGCAAGCCTTTACCAATCATGCACAATATGTACTACTAAAATGATGTCGTCAAAACAATGTCATTTTGGGGTCTTGATAATATATATTCTTCTCCTATCATCTTAGCTCGAGTCTCCAATTACCCCCACCTCCTCCTCCCCAAAATAGTGTGAGATGTTCACACATTGTTTAAGTTTTTCTGACGCCTTATTTTATTTTGGTCATAGAATTTAATAAATCAATCAATAACAACTAATATAAGTAAGTAATGGAGTGTGGGAAATCAAAAGAAGTATGTGTTTATCATTTCCCACAAAAAATTCCTCCAATTTTTTCCCAAGCTCCAACCATGACCCTTCAACCTCTGAACTAGTTAACACCGTTGTCATCCACCCACATGGGAGAGGGATTCCCATGTTTTGCAGAAAAAATAAAAAAATTAATAAAAAAATACAAAAATATAAAAAAAAAAAATCAAATCATTAATCCTATAGGTTGATGTAATCACGTATTTGTGTTTCTTTAAGAAATATAAACAAGAAAGTGAAGAACACATAACTGTAGAGCATGCTTTAATTCGATGCAAGTGTTCCACCATCCACCTGGGCCTTTTTTTAATGAACATTGTATAGCTCCACCTTTAGTTTCCAAAGTTGAAGCCCTTTACTTTTTGACACCTCCTAAAATTAAGATGGATGAAGAAAGTGGTGAGAAAGAGTGACAAGTGAGTATACTGTTGCTTTAGAGACAGGGTGACCAGCTATTAGGGTAGTGATGGTGGAGTTGTGTTTCCCCTCTAGGTTTATGCTCGTGTTTGCATGCCTTTGCAACGACAAATTACAACTCTCTGGTTTCTCTCTACAATGAGACTTACCTTGTTTTGCATGTGAGGATAAGTAATAATAATCTAGTGGTATTCCTCTATACTTGTAAGTGAGAGGTCTTAGGTTCGATTCTTGTTAAAGGTAAATTTGAACAATATTATTATGACTCGCCTTTTGTAAAGCTTAGTCCACTTCCTCATGCCTTTAGTGAATGATAATATCATTTGTTAAAAAAAAAATTAAATGAAAAGCCTTGAACTTACTTGATAACTTGTCTAGTTTCTCTTTTTTGGGCACTCATGACTCTTCCAACACACACCATCACTTAATAATTAAATTCGATAATTTATCGACCCTTTATAATCTTTCTATCTGAAACAAAAATGAAAGGTTATAGGATTAACAGTGTAAGAAGAAGAATGAAATACATGAGTGGTTTTAATGTGGATCCAGTTGGCACGGCGGGTGGTCTAAGTTTATGGTGGAATGAATCAGTGGAGATGGAAACGCTGGATGCATCTTAATCATAGATGCTAGATGTCAAGTGGTAGAGGCACAATGCAGTTTCAGATTTACGGGAGTTTATGGTACGCCTTATTGGGCCGCGAAAGGTTATTTTTGGCAAGGTATAACTCATGACGTTTCTTCTTCTCCTATTCCTTGGATTTGTGGTGGTGATTTTAATGACTATCTTTGGAATTGGGAGAATGAGGGTGGTGCAGAGGTTAGTCCTCACTGACACAGATACTTGGGGGATTTTATGAATCGTATGGAGTTATTGGAGGTCGAATCTTATGGTCCTAAATATACTTGGAGAGGTACTCAGTATGGGAAATTGGTGAAGGTCAGATTAGACTGGGGACTGGTAAATCAACAATGGTTTGATTGTTGGCCTAATACTTGTGTTATCAATCGAGCAGTCGTGGGTTTAGATCATAACCCAGTTATAGTGATAGGTGATCCTTTTTTGTGGGAAAAGAAAACGATTGTTCAGGTTTGAAGCTTTATGGGCTAAGGAATCTGAATGTAAGGATATTGTGGTGAGCTGCGGGGAAAGACGGTGTGCTGGGAGGGGGGTAGTATGGATCGGTGGATGAGGAAAATCAATGATTCTAGATCCAAGCTGTTCGGTTAGAGTATACATAAATTTAAACTTAGAAGCTGGCAAATTGAGGAGATGGAGGTGCGTTTGGGAAAGCTTCAAGAGGATTAGAGGCAAAATTTCGTGCAAATTGAGGAGCTATCGTTGGAGGTTGATAAGCTCAGGCAACATGAGGAAAGGTTTTGGCACCAGAGATCGCGGGTGAATTGGTTTCAAGCAGGGGATGCTAATACTAAATTCTTCCATCAATCTACATTGCAACGCCGTAGACAGAATAAGGTGCTTAAACTAAAGAATGAACATGGAGTGTGGCTTGAGCATCCCAGCCGTGTTCAGGAGCTTATTGATACATATTTTGTCAAACTCTTCACTTCGGCGAGTCAACGAGATTAGGGCTTGGTGTTGGATTGTATTCAACCAAAGGTAACTAATGATATGAATATGGTTATTCTTCAAGCTCTGATATCACGGGATGAAATTCAGACAACTGCTATGCAGATGGAGGCTTTGAAAGCTCCGGGTCCAGATGGATTCCAAGGTATTTTCTATCAATCTTTTTGGGATAATCTTGAGGAGGAGGTTTTCGAATTGGTTGGGGATCTTATGAATGGTAACTGTAGTCCTCATCACATTAATTCCATTCATGTGGTTCACATACCTAAGGTACCCAATTCGGAATTTGTATCTCAATTTTGACCAATTAGCCTGTGTAATTATTCTTATAAGATTTTGTCGAAGGTGTTGGCAAATAGGCTTCGTCCGTTTTTGGCAGAGCTTATTTCATACACGCAGAATGCTTTTGTGGTGAGTAGGCAAATTCAAGATAATATTGGAATTGCTCATGAGACTTTCCATTTCCTAAAAACTCAACGAACTAAAAGGAAAATTGAGCTAGGGGTAAAGCTTGATATGCACAAGGCGTATGACAAAGTCGAGTGGGACTTCTTAGTGGCCATCGTGCAGCTTCTGGGATTTGATCAGGATTGGTGTCCACTGGTTCTTCGGTGCATTTTTTCGGTCAATTTTTCCATCATTCTAAATGGTACTCTAGGCAAAAAGCTTGCTACATCACGTGGCTTATGTCAAGGGATCTGTTATCACCTTATGTTTTCTTGTTCATTAGTGAGGTTTTTTCTCTACTCATTTTGCAGACGTGTGAGCAGTATGCTCTGTTCGGAGTTCAACTTAATCTATATGGCTCTACTATCTCACATATTTTCTTTGTTGATGATACCCTCATGTTTCTTAAAGCAGATAAGGAGAATTGCCACAATTTGGTGAAATTAATTGAGATATATTTTGAGGCTTCGGGACAACAGGTTAATCTTCAAAAGTCTAGTGTTTTCTTTGGGTTGAATGTTCCCGCCGGTTTATCGGAGGAGTTTGGGGCTATCCTATGAATGCCAATTGTGGATGATCCTGGGACGTATCTGGGTGTGCCAGCGATGTGGGGAAGATCCAAATCTAAGGGGTTGGCTTATGTGAAGGATTGGATTATGAGGAAAATTCAAGGTTGGTAGCATGCTCTTCTATCGTAGGTGGGGAAAGATGGTTTGATTAAGGCAGTGGTTTAGGCAATCTTGGTTTATCAGATGAATTTGTTCAAGTTTCCTGAGACTAGTTGTAAGAAAATAGATTCTTTGATTATAGATTTCTGGTGGGGGCATGCTACGGCGGAACGGCATATCCATTCGGTTTCTAAGGATAATCTTAGGCTTCCGAAAGCTCAAGGGGGGTTGGGTTTTCGCAGCTTTATGGAGTTTAATGATGCCCTCTTAGCAAAATAATGATGGCAATTAATTCAAGAACTAGAGTCATTGTGGGCGAGGGTATTGAAGGCTTGATATTTTTCTCATTGTTCTTTTTTAGAGGCTAAGCGGGGAGGCAAAGCTTCTTGGGCTTGGTCGAGCTTGTTACGGGGTAGAGATCTTCTGCTAAATGGAGCCCACTGGCAGGTGATGAGTGGCCATCAGATTAGGCTCTGGTGGGATCATTGGTTGCCCTCGCTTCCAGATGGTCACTCAATCCATTCAAGAAATGTGCAAGTTTGCTATAATACCACTATGGATTTCATTATTAATCCAGCAACTGGGGACTGGAATGTTGAGTTTATTAGACCATTTATCTCGGGGGAGGCGCTTGATGCTATTTTGGCAACTCTAATTGGTGATACTATGTTAAAGGATCGGTTGGTGTGGCCTCTTGTTAAGACTGGTGTTTATTCTATCAAATCTGGTTATCATTGGCAATGTTCTCAGGTCACTCACACACTTCCCCGACACTCCTTATCGGCTGTTTTTAATTTAGCGATCTTATGGAAACGGGCGTGGCAACTCAAGACTCCCCCTAAACTAAGATGTTTCATGTGGAAGACTTTGCATTGTGCACTACCCATAATGGCAGCTCTATATAACTGGAACTCAGCACCTTCACCGCTTTGCCTTTTATGTCACACTCATGAGGAGTCGGTTGAACACTTGTTTCTCTTCTGTCCATGGGTGATAGCTATTTGGTTTGGGGTGCTTTAACATATCAAGTGAACAGAAGGGAAATTACTTCGTGGGGAAATTGGCTTCTTGCTGTTATCCAGGATAATGCTCACTAGAAGGAAGATTTGGAGCGCGTTATGTCTTTGATTACATTTTCTTGTTGGCATATTTGGAAAGCAAGGTGTAGTTTCCTATTCTAACATACATCTCTTAACCCATTACGGGTCCTCTCCATTATTTCCACCAGTGTTGCTGCTTTCCTTGATGCTACGTAGGTTACCTTAAGTTGCATGGGACAGCAGCCATCTCATCGGGAGGGACAAGTTCGAGCCAAAAATAAAAACAAAACAAAACAAAACAAAATGAATTATGTTTATGTGCTAGCAAGCATCAAATGCTTTAACATACCAAAGTGAAAATAGATCATCCAAGATGCATTCATGAAAGTTAAACCTTTTGTGGCACAAGAATTTTATTTTTGTTGAAACGCAAGAATTTTATACACACTGAAAATTTGACTCAAAGAATAGCATATACATTTGCTTGAATAATTTAGATCAACAAAACAAACATCAACATGAAAGTAAGAACCACGAGCTGATGATCCAGTGATAAATGGCAGATTACAAGGGTTTCCTTAAAACTAAAAGATCTCGGGTTCAAAACTCGATGTTGGTGTGGAAGCCAGACTTGTGGCCAAGGGGAGGTTGAAATGCCTCTATGAGTCTTCCCAGCCCCTGAAAATGGTGGATAATCGTGGTTTGCCACCAGTTGTTCCTCTTTAAAAAAGAAACAAAAACACACATGAATGTAGGAATATTCCTTGGTTATTATTGGGATTGAGTTGTTAGGTCCTGTTTGGTGGGCAGGATGAGATGAGTTATTTTTAATTAAAATGGGCTAGCTCAGCCAATTTTTGGTGAGAAAAATTGTAACACAGATTCAATTGGCTACAAATCCGAAATAAGGGAAAATATGATGGGTTATGTAACCCATCCATACACTTGAGTTATGTTACTCATTCCTACCAATCTTATTCATCCCATCAAACCGACCCTTAGGGGTACAACTTATACGTTGTATGCTATGAAGCAAATGTTCGGGAGTGGGACCGGCGATTCGGGAGTGGGAGATTTGGCAATTGTGAAAATGCAAAGAATCATAAATCGGGGGCGACCAATTAGAATTGGTAACTAATATAAATATATTTATTAAGGAGCTTGTAATTTAATTGATTAAGAATATTCACTTCTACACTTAAGATCCTGAATTTGATTAAACTCCCGAAAATTAAAGAATTAGATCAATTAGGGGAGACTAGTCGATCCCATCGTCATTCTTTTTCCTTCTTCGATTCATTACTTCCTCATTTCAAATAAGTAAATATGCTATGATTCATTTGTTTGATAGAAGAAAACTCAATTCATTTAGGGTCTTAATCAAATAGAATTGTAAATTTGTGTATAAATATAATTAATTGTATACAACTCTGTATCTATCTCATCTCAATCACGTAACAAGAAATAGAGAAATTAAGGCTTTATACAAATCGTCGGTGGCAAAGCAAATTTGATTTAGGTTAAACCAGAATTGAGAAACGGAATTTAAGAGTCGGAATGCATGCATGAGGTAGCAGGCAGGGCCCACAACCGCGTAAACAAAAAAAGAGTAATTCCAATTGAGGGCCTTCCCTTTCTTCTTAAATTCTTTCCTAACCGGCACTTGCTTTGTCCTATAAATATTCTGAATTCCCTGGATTGTCTGCAAACCAGTCCACCTGTTTAATCCTTTCCGTTTATTTCGTGTGAGTCTGCGGATAGCATATGTCTCAGAGGCCTTCCGTCCCTCACTCTTCCTCCATCGCCTTTCGCCTCCATTCCCATCTTCTCGTCTCCAGTGACATGAACCCTAATTCCAACTGGCCCTCTTAATCTATATTTTTCTTTTTAATTATTTCTTTTCATTGGATTTTAGGAACCAGAAACAAAAACCACCCATTCATTATTCTTTTCTGTTTGTTTCCCGAGAAAATTCGACATGGGTATCAAAGGTTTTGTCGAAGGAGGCATCGCTTCTGTCATTGCCGGCTGCTCCACCCACCCTCTTGACCTCGTCAAGGTCCGAATGCAGCTCCAGGGCGAAACCCACGCCCCGAAAACCCCTCCGCAGACAGTCCGCCCGGATTTTGCTGCCGTCCATACCGCCGCCCGACGCGGCTCCATCCCTCTCCCATCACCGCCTCCTGCGGTCCCTGCGGGTCCTATCACCGTTGGGATTCGTATAATTCAGCAAGAAGGCGTCGCCGCCATGTTCTCCGGCATCTCCGCAACCATGCTCCGGCAAAGTCTCTACTCCACAACCCGAATGGGCCTCTACGACATTCTGAAGCAAAAATGGACAGACCCGACAACCCGAAACATGCCGCTCCCACGAAAAATCACAGCCGGGTTGATCGCTGGAGCCGTCGGCGCCGCCGTTGGAAACCCTGCTGACGTGGCCATGGTCCGAATGCAAGCCGACGGGAGGCTCCCTGCGGCGCAGCGTCGCAACTACAAAAGCGTGGTGGACGCCATCGTCCGCATGGTCAAGCAGGAAGGGGTGACGAGCCTTTGGCGCGGGTCGTCGCTGACGATCAACCGTGCGATGCTTGTCACGGCGTCGCAGCTGGCGTCGTACGATCAGATCAAGGAGACGATCGTGGACAATGGGATTATGCGCGACGGGCTTGGGACCCACGTGACGGCGAGCTTCGCCGCGGGGTTCGTGGCGGCGGTGGCGTCGAACCCGGTGGACGTGATCAAGACTCGGGTGATGAACATGAAAGTGGAGGCCGGGGCTGAGCCGCCGTACTCGGGGGCGTTGGATTGCGCTCTCAAAACGGTGCGTTCGGAGGGCCCCATGGCGCTTTATAAAGGCTTTGTGCCAACGATTTCGCGGCAGGGGCCTTTTACCGTTGTGCTGTTTGTGACGCTGGAGCAGGTTCGCAAGCTGCTCAAGGATTTCTGAGCGTCAGATTCAGAAAGTGGACGGTGGTGATTCGATTCGATTCGATGTGATGACGAAAATAAGTACTTTTCTGAATATATATGCATGTGCCTTTATTTTAATTTTTTAAATTATTGCTTAGGCTCGTTGAGATTGGAAAGGAATTAATTCGATCCAATATTCTTAGCAATATGCCATAGAATATGCCTATGTAATTGCTAGATTTGCTATATAGATTGGTGGTGTGATTCCATGGCCTCAACGAACCCTAATTTTGTTTGGAATGTGTTTTTATATCTCAAACGTGTATGTGAGAGTTAAAATATGACTGATTTATTAAAATGAACTTTATATCGTGTCTCATATTTGATAAACTATAAATGTTGAGACTGAATTTTTTAAACTGGACAAAAGTTCAACATATTACAAAGCTGTTCTAGTCACCGAAACCAAAAGTTTTTTTTTCTTCATTCTTTTACGAAAACCTATGTTCTTGTACATTTTTTATTTTTTGAAACAAATAATATTATCTACACTAAGGGAGAGGGGATGGACTTGGCCACACAATAAGCTAGTAGTAATGTGGTTCAAATTCACATTTGGTGAGAATCGAATCTAAGATCTATCACTTGCAAATGAAGAAAAACAATGAGTTGGACTAGCTAGGTCAAAAGGTTACAAAAACTACTTCTGTTTTTTTGTTTTTTGTTTTTTTTGTTTTTTAGCCGAACTACAAAAGCTAATTTAATAGCATCCAAGCAGCAAAAGTCTTTAATTGTGCATGCACCTGATTCGAAAGAAGGGATAACATCTAGCTGGTGGAATGCTTGCTACAAGTCTATTAACTGCCCTTTTTCTGGAACAATATTAGACATAAACATTAATTACTAGTCTAAACAAGCTTTAAACCTCTAGACTCGGACTGATCATATGAAATGAATGCTTAGTTGCAGTTTCATGAATGAATCTAAAAGAAAAACTGGAAATTCGGCTGAAATCGGAACATAATGGAACTGAAAACACTTACCTGTTGATGGAGCCTTTGCGGGTTCAAATCAATGATGCTCGAAATTGACCATTTCAATAAGATGAGATGATTAATCTAGCTATTGATCTAATGATATTTCACTTAATTTTCAAGGGAAGTGTTATTGGCACTCCAAAAATCTCATTATACACCCCTCACAAGTGTATTTTTCTTTCCAAATATAAAATGTTTGGAGTGTAGAATGAAATTTTTGGAATGCGAATAACAATTCCCATTTTCAATACTAAAGATATTTTGAGTTTGAATCACTCAACCCCATTGATAAAATGGTTTAGCACGAGAGATACAAAACAAAAACACTCACAACGATCTTGTTCTTATTTCTAAGACTCTGTCATTTCCAACCTTCGTATCTATGCTTCAAACACTCAGTGTTTCTTATGTTTCTTCTCACAAAAATGTGTTTCTTGACATGGTTTATTGATCTTAGCCTGTACTAGCCTAGCTAACTCGATTATCTATTTTTTATCTCAAATTACGGTTTATAAATATCTAATAAATAAGTCTATTATGTAGTTCTGGCTCATACAACTTGATACGAAAACGACTTAGATTTTAGTTTTGTTTCGAGGTCGACTCTAATCCGTTTATATTTGGTATAAACCAACTAATTGGGTGTGGATTTAAATCATAGTATCTTAACATGACATTGGCAAGACTTGTCAACCAAAAGCTTTGCCATATCTTTAAGGAAATTGCAACGATGGTCTCCGAAATATCACTTAATTAGAGATAGGGTCCCTATACTACGATTCTGATGATAAAAATTCAGAAATCAAATCTAATAAATTTTTAATTTAATGACCATTATTCCAGTTAAGTCATAACTTAAAAATACAATTTTTATAAACTGCTCTCATACCTTTCACCAACTAGCCGTTGGTTGCCCACCAAAGAAAATAAAGAAAATGAGGAAACGAAAATTGAATGAGGGGATGCATCTTCATACATGAGAATTTGGATGTATCGAAAATGTCCAAAATACCCAATCATATCAAGCAATAACATTTGGCATTCCGTGTGGGGCTGTGCAGCTTGGTTCTCAAGTCTCACTTCACAGTTCACACTTCTCACTTCTGACACCGCGACTGGTTCATGTGTAAGGGTCCCACAAAACTCAGCAACACTATTTCAACACCCGCCACGCTATTTTCCTTGTGGGTTTGAAAAATAAAAATTTGAAAAAAAACTTGAACCGAAATTGAAGAAATCGAAATTGAATTGAAATTTATTGGTTTGATTTTAATTGTATTAGTTTAGATATCAAATCAAACCAAATCAAATTGAAATTAAAAAAAAAACAACGTTGTTTTACAGTACTTGCTTTCAAACCAGACCTAACCCTATTTACCATTATAATTAAAATCAACGATGAATTAAGAACAATAACGAGCACATGAGCTAGGAAGACACAACAAGTGTAAAAGAATTATTGAAAATTTGCATCGTACAAAGGGGCTAGTAGGCTTAGAAATTTCTAGGAAAGCACTAGGGATCCAACAACTTGACAATTTGGCAGATATTAAATGGACCATTCATTGTTTATGCACTATTCCTAATCATTCACAATTTGAAAGAATGAATAACGTTAATGATAGGGATACCACATTTTATAAATAGTTTTTAAACTCTGTTTCACACACAGCGAGTGTGCTAGCAACTGACACAACGACTGTTGCTAGAATTGCTCTCTTATATTTGTTTAGGTATTGACATGGGGTAAATAAGTCATTTTCTTGTTTTCAGTTGGTAAATTACATTGCAAATGTTGTAACAGTAACACAAATGTTATGTATGTCGAGCATACACAAAACTTCCTCTACCCAATGATTAGAAATCAAAATAAAAATCTTGTGTGGTTGGTAGGTGTTTGGGCCCAAAATATTATTTTGGGCTGAGTTAGGAGTTGTTCTAGGCCCAGTATTCTTCTTCTAGAATTAGCATATGTCGTCTAGTCATTGCCAGCCATCCAGTCAGGATCAGACGAATCTTATTGCAGGACGAATTGGTTTAAGATAAGAATGGATGAGTAGAGACCTAGTGCAATGAGGAGTCTTAAGAGGCCAAGGACATTGAGACTCAAGAGATGAATCTGGTTTGATGATTAGCTCGGTTCAAAGCCTTTTGGAGTTGGGATTGGCCGAAACCTAATCAGATTAGGTTGAGAAGTTCTAATCCAAGTATGATTTTAGCCCGTCTATGAAGGGTTTCGTTATTATAAATAGAGGATGGAGCATACATTCAAGGTATTCCAATTCAACACACAAAATGCCCTGCACAAACTCTCACTCTACACGAAACTTCTCAACAACCTTGAGATATTTATTTTTTTTTTTCCGCCAACACATCTTTAGTTTGGATAAACAAAATTGTGAAGGCAACCGATGATATCTTTAGTTTGGATAAACAACACTGCTTCAAAGTCGACTGAGTACCTATCCAAATCTCGGTCGACAAGGATTTACGAGTCCTTATTGGTAGAGGTCATCTCATCAGCCTTCTCGGGGAAATGAGGTGTTACCAGGTTACTACATTTGGCATATTAAAAGCCAAATCTGATATTGAACTTTGCAAAACTAGCAGCCTTGTCTTTAGCCTCTAAAACCCGAAGGCCGAGACATGTTCCTTCCTCAACCGCAGTTGCAAGATCAAAAAGTCAGCAGTGCACTAAAAGCAACATCAATGCATTTTACTCCCGGCCAAGCTCGTCCGTCAAGTTGGCATACCCTGCACATAACTGAAGAACGTAGTTAGCTCATTAGTTAATCGACATATGCGCCATTTAGGCTTAGTAGTTTTTAGGATTAACATTTTGGCATGCCCGTGGGACTCAGTGCTAAAGCTACAAAGTTCATGACCATTGAGACACGGTCAGTAAAAAAGAAAACAATCATGGGAAAGTCAACGACCAACTTTTCAGTCTAGAACCCAGGACAAGATAACTTGTCACAGGCACAAAATCCTCCTGTTGCCACCACACCTGAGGCCACAAGCGCGACATGCCAAGAAAAATAAGTTAGTCTCGGCGGTCAGCCTCGTGGTGCAGAAATCCCTAACAAAACCAAAGGCGTTTTCATTGAAGGGATAATAGAGGATTGCGATGAGGATGGTGGTGAAAGCTGTAATCCATCAACTGGGTCATTTCTTTAGAGATGACTTGAAAAGCAATCTCGGCAATTTGAATAGATATTCAGCCGAGAAGTAAAAAGCATACTCGAGGAGATGCATGATAATAACGTTATACAAAACAGATGGCTTGAACTATTGGTTAATAAAGTCCATGAATGTGGACCCGCTGATCATTCCCGACAACCTCCACTCAAGAACAATCTGTTACCAACGACACAGGTTGAGGCAGGACCTGCTCAACTCAAAACTATCGACTTGGAAAAAAGAGGAGAATCAAGTAGTAGATCAGACAAATCCGACCAGGGAATAGAAACGACGTCTGTTGATGTGGTCGAGATGGAGAGAATGACTAATTCGGCCTTAAAGAAGGGGCCGAAGTTTCCAAAATTCATTCATCCATATCCAACCTTCGTGGAGAAATTTGAGTACCCCAAGGATCATTAGAACACGTAGCTCGATTCTTTACTCAATATGGGGACGCTAATAGCGATTTCCATAAGTTACGATTATTCAAATTCTTGCTAACCGACTTAGCCTTCTCGTTGTATATCAACCTTTTGCCCAACTCCATCCAAAGTTGGGAGGAATTAGTTAAGAAGTTTCACGAGCAGTTCTATTGACTAGAGATAGATGTATAGTGTCTTCCTTGGCCAGAATGGCTCAAGCCTCTAATGAATCACCAATGGAATACTTTACGAGGTTTAAATCGGCCAGAAATTGGTGCCGAGTACCTCTCCTTGAAGTCGAGTTCGTTAGGCTCGCTCTAAACGGCCTAGATGTGGAGTACAAAAAGAATTCTTGGGTGCAAACTTCCGAGACATGTATGAACTGGCTTAACATGTCAAGCAATACGATTATTAGCTTCGAGAAGAAAATATCTAGAAGCTCCCATCCCGAGGAACGATTTACAAAAACCCTATAGTCAGTTATGCAACGGCCGAAGGCAAAGAATCTCAATATGCCAGTATTAACGTGGCCGAAATAGTAATCAATAAACTATATGTATGCAAAGCATTGGCCCATGTTAATATCAAAGATGCCAAAACCCGCTCGGCCTCTGAGGAAGCTGCCGTCAAAATAGCCAAAGTC